GTACTGTAGCATTGTTCCTATTAAGGGACTTGACCCTATTGGCCTACCTGGAGTTTTAGATAGAGCTAGTTTTGAGTATGACATCCCATAGTGCGTGATTTGGGAGAAACCGTGTTTATAAGTGAGTAAGGTAACCCTGGCTCGGTAGCCCCTCATGATATGATTAAGGCTTTGAACAGTCTCACCACATGGACGATCCCTTCCAGTTGTTGGCCCACGGATTTCATGTCAGAGGAAATAAGGAGGGATATAAGGAAGAGATTGATCATGCATATTATTACTATCATGTCATTTGAGTGATTGATGGCTATGTTGAGAATATGATTATAATTGTAGAAATGAGAACATGCAGTAATTATGTGAATAATGTATATGTGGCTATTTGTGCAAATTTTATACTTGACTTTATTCTTGAAATTATTCACATGAGTTAAATGTTAATGTGATTAACATGTTATTAATGTGATTGTTTGAATGGTCACCTTGATAACTTTATTAGCCACTTGCATTCATAATTAATTATCATGCATTTGTATAACTTAGATGTACCTTGGTTATTGAGTGGTTGTACTCATCCCTCTCTTTTAACATATTACAGGGGTTAGCTCATCTGAGAAAAACAGAGGAAAGGAGTATTAGGTCAAGTGATAATAATCACTTCTGTAGGCCTCTTTTCTTTTATTTAATATGTGTATTTAGTTTATGATATTGCCAACTAGGATAATATATTCTTGATCCACTTGCATTATGGGTTTTGTGTTGGAAAAAATATATTTTGGGCCCTGGGGAATGTGGTTTGATGCTTATGCTATAATTACGGGCCAAAATATTTGTGCAAGTAAAAATAGTTATTATCATACTTCCGCATATATTTACTTAAATGATATGAGTTCTTAAAATATTTTAAAGACTTGAGATCTCTTTATATTAAATAGTTTGAAAAAAAAATACATGTTAAGAATTCATTTGGGTTAATCTCGTATTGGATAATCCATTTGGGTTAGTCCTTGATTAATCATGGTTAGTGTGATGGTTAGTATGATGATTAAGTCCTAATTTAGGACGCCCATTACAGATTTGATCATTATTAAAATATATAAATTTATTGTGTGATATATGCATGATTGTAGTTTATGTATGTGGAGTGTGAATAAAATTTGACTCAAGAGGGGGAAACACTTGAGTAGTGTTTATGGCATTAAAAGTTTGCCTTGGCACTGAGTGTTCTAGGATCCTCCTTTGGTATTGGAATGGGATAAACTTGAAGCCATTAGATAGATCTTTTAATTATCTATATGTGGATGCTTGGCTCACATTAATCAAAAGTTTGAGCTGTAAATTAGATTCCTCAAAAGTCAACAATTAAGACTACCTGATCTATCCTGTAATTGTGCATGCACCATGACGGATGGTCTTTTTGGCCACAATTGATGCTACACATGTGTTGGCCATGGTGAGTGGCTTCTATGCTACTAGTTGCGACGAACATGCAATAGGCCATGACAAATGTGTTGGTTTCAATAAAATGTCTATTTTGCTCATATTTAAATTAGATTTAAATGCTCAACTTATTTCCATGGTTCCGCAAACTTTTATAATCTGATTTTAACTATTTTCAAGTATCTATATATTGTTAATCTTCTTTAATTAATGTTGGGATCCATCGTTCCCAAGACTTTCAAAATCAATTAAGAAATTAACCTTAGCCAAAGTTGATCCTTGGTTTTAGTGATTGGTTTAATTAAGTGTGTTGAGATTGGTTAACAACAGTGGTCATTACAACAATAGCCCTTGCTTGCCCCTTGTGTATCTGTCCCTAATCAAGGAATATGGATCATGCAAATTGAGTTACAAACTGTTGACCCAAAAAAAAAAAAGAAAAACAGTGACCAAACGTAATCTTACAATGAAGAATAAGAAGCGTCGGTTGATCCCACCCACTGAGATAGTCTGGAGGATACCATATCAAGCTACGTATGATTATTTATTTATTGATTATTAATATATGAATTATAATATATGGTAATGTATGATTATTTTTTAAACTATCATTTTTTTTTACAATAACCACTTGGAAGCATGTGAAAAATGTGGACCCTACACCTAATGGCCGCTTGTCCTTTTAAAACTTGGCCAAGTTTTCCATAGTCAGATACCCACACTCCTTCGCTTATTAAAAGAAAAAGTTTTGCAAGTAACTTTCAAGAATCACATCGTCTTTGTCAGTATTCCACTCTTAATCTTAACCCACATCTTCTCTCATTTTTCTATCAAACCTACAATCTTCCATTGTTTCTTTTGTCAGTTACTTGAAATTATAAATTTTACTCTTATAAATCATGAATAATATTTTGGAATTCTTCATGAAAGGAAGTAGGTTGAAGATCTTTTAGAACTATATCTATATATTGGATGGTATTGCTTGTGAAAGCTATGGGAAAATGTCAAGGGGTCATTCTTAGGAACCAAATCAACGAATTCAGATTTCAAGGCATCTACCCATTGATGATGGTGTCATCAAGAGGTGCTAGTTGCTTAAGTTCTTGAATTACTAATTGAACTCTTCTTACATTCATTACTAAAAAAATTAAATTTATTGAGGAACAAATTTCTCACTAAATACCATTTTTCCTTGTGAAAATGCATTTAGTGAGAGATTGTGGCCTTTGTTAAATTCGTTATAAAAAAGCAACTTGCTAAATTTAGTGAAGGAATACAATTTTTTTAGAATTTAGTGACGGATTTAGTGAGAAATTACATCCCTCACTAAACATGTTCAAATACTAATCACATCAGTGAAGGATGAGCGAGGAATATGGGTCCTTGCTACAATCCTTCCCCAAATGGTGAGGGAATACAATTTCTTTGTTAAATTTAGTGGGCTTTTTTTTTTTCCAACGAATTTAGTGAGGGTCACAATTCCTCACTAAATGAATTTTAGCAAGGTTCGTTACTCCCTAGTGTTTTGATAGTTTTTTAAAAATAAAAATCCCTTGCTAATTTAATTTAATAAATCCCTTATCAATTTGCAAATTTTTAACATTTTAGTTCTTATATAGCCACACAACTAATCATCTATTCAATTTTCTAATCATAATTCATAATCACATTAATATAATATAACAAAAATTCAATGCCACATCAATTATAGGTAAAAAATTCAAACTAGTTCAGCATAGAAAATTGAGCAAAATATAAAGGAGTTTAAAAAAGTTCAAAATACTTCATACAAAAGTTACCTTGTTGCATAAAGAATATGAGCTATTAACATTTTGTTGTGGAGTTGAGACTTTTTCACCCAAAGTTTAAATAGCCCTGAATATGTTTTGTTATATAAAAAGTCTCATATCTAATGTCCTTTGATCCAATGATTGGTTCATCCTTTGGTGGGATCAATGCCTTATTTAGTTTAGGTTTTACAGCTTCAAGGTTCTTGTCTCATCATTCTATAAGTTTAATCAAAGTAATTTAATACATTTTTAAGTAGTACAGTGGTATGTAAGCATAAGAATTACCCAATTCTACTATAAGCGAGTGTGAAAGTCCCATGCCTCAATTGGGGGGCACATCACATGTTTGCTGGATTCCAATTCTCTACCTTTGGTGTACCTTGAAATGACATGAATTTTTGAGGATCAGAAGAACAAAGAGCCCCCCTTTTCCAATAGAAAATGTTAAGCAACAAAAAGATGGGCTAGAGTGCTCCAAAACATATATGTATGCATGTACGTATTATTTTATGAGCAAAACCAACACACTAAAATTTATTATTTTACGTGAAAAAACTAAATCTCAAAGCTGTACAAATTTATATTCAAACAGTTAAGAAATATCATACTTTGGCATATGACCTTTATGATCTTTCATCTGCATTAGCACCCAATTTTTTGTAGATCCAAGCCAGCTCTAACTTGTTATTATAATAAATTTTATGATTATCAATCTAATTTACTTTTAATTTAAAGGGTCTAGTTTAATATCAAGATTTTTAATTTTTAGAACAATTCATATTTAAAATTTTTAATTTGTAATTTTTTTAAAAAAGTGCTAGTTTTATATATTTTAATTTTTAATGTAATATTTATCCCTCAGACATCTCATTATTTTCCTCGTTAATTATATATTTTAGATAAGTATGAAAATGCATCACTAAATATATATTTTTAGAAATTTATAAAAATTTCCATGGTCCCACTGAATTGTTACTTCTCCTTACTTGATGTTAGTCAATTTGAGTTGTTAATTTTTTATTCTTGTTTTTTAGACATTTTGTGTTTTTCTTAAATTGTTAGGTTTCTTCATTTTCTCTATCTCTATCCCTTGCCTTTAATTGTTTTTTGACATTGAAAATCTGGATTCAATTGCATTTCTTGATTGTTTTTTTATGTTGATAATCTAAATTTAATTTTTCATCTTAATGGTTTAAGTTATTTTGCATTTTTAATATTGTGAATGAAGAAGATGTTAATGAAGACAAAGCATAACTCTTTATTTTTTTATTTTTAAAAAATGTCATGTGGCAAGTGAAATCAAACAAAACGGTCAACTCTAACAGCAAGGCAACATTGCACCGTTTTGAAGAGCTCTGAGGCAATATTGCTCCCAAAAAAAGTTGAGAATACTAAACACTCAGAAAAAATTTTAAGGTAAATTTATACCTTTATCATTTTTTTAAATTTTTAAAAATGCCACATGGCAAGTCCAGCTAAACAAAATGATCAACTCTAATAGCAAGACAATATTGCACCGTTTTGAAGAGTTTCAGACAATATTACTCCCAAAAAAAGTTCAGGATACCAAGCGTCTCTAAAATAAAAGTTTCAAAATAAATTTATACCTTTACCTTAAAAAAATTATTTATATAATTAATTTAAGTATATAAGCAATTCCATTATATATATACAAAAGTTCAACCAACAAATTTTCAATACTACAATATACATAAATATAATGTAGATTACAATCTAAAAATTTTAAAACATTTTCAACACTCACATACTTACATGGTACAAATACATCTAACACTATTCTTATTTGATTGTAGAGTATTCATTCACATTCTGTTTGCAAAAAAAATAAATAAAAATAATTTAGTTAAATTATAAATGTGATATTAATTATGAATACTATCACAGTAATCACACCCAGAAAGAATATATGCGCAAGTCAATGAATTACTCCATGCTAAGATTTAGCTCCTCCAAAATCTGAACCAAAAGAAATATCAGCATGAGCAAATCAAAATATCAGCCATAAATACAACAAATTCACTTGTTCCCTCTTATTGCAGGCAGCAATGCTGGAAGCCAGGAAAGCAAAATGAAAAGATAGTATACATACAACCTAGAACAGCTAGGAAAGGAAAAAATCTATCCACAACAACGTTCAGACTCCCAGATTTTTCTAACAAAAGGATAGATATTACGACATCAGTGAAAGGTAGCCCTGGATTAACCCAAAGTTTAGTTACAGTTTTGCATGCACAAGCAAACAAATCATATTAATACTTTTTAGCAAAGAGAGCTAGATACTAATACCATATACAACAGGAATGCATTTATCACCAGGAGTAATCTATCATTTCGCATTAACATTTCAATCAAAGATACTCATGTAAAGAACATGGAAAATGAACTGTATATTAAAAGAATGATGAAAGGGAAAGTAAAGTATATAAAAAAGACAAAAGCGTGCAATAAAAAAGTAGTCATACAAATAGTAACTAAGATGATTTTTAAAATGCGGGAACCATAGACCCCTACCCAAACTTCGACAAAAGATGGAAGAATGAGATCTTCGGGTGGCCATGAACTTTGCAAAATGGTCTGAACAGAAAATCTAAAGAAACACATCTTACTTTTAGGAACCTGGCTCTTGCCTCATTGTTTTGCTTAAGACTTCTTTCCTCCAGATAAAATAAATCCACAAATTATTTAGGCAATTTTAAAAAAAGTATAATACATCGACAAAAGATGCACAACCTCATAAGTCGCTACCTTTTCCTTAGCTGCAGCAACTTTTATCTTTGCTACTTTGGAAATTTCAGCAAATCTTGTGTGTTGCTCATCAATAAAACTCCTTAAAGTCCTGGACAGATGTAAATTACAAATCATTCCAAAAAAAAAATTAAGACTATAAGAAGGGCAAACTTGAAATTTAAGTCCTCACCTAAATTCCAAAATCAAAATTTATTGTTGTTATATTGCAGTACTGTTTCGACATTAAACCCAATTGCTGCTTCAAATAACAGAGTGAATCTGTCAGTAATTAACTATACATAAGGAGATGTTTAACATCATACATACAAATTGTCCACATTCTAATTCTAATTTTCATATATAATTAAGCACAGGATAATAGGTTAATTTTTCTGGAGCTTACAGTACAATATAGATTAATTTTTACTTCAAAGCTCTACCAAAGAAGGCTTTTGGAACTCTCATACGATACATGTGATTAAGCATAGTACAATACGTGTGCTCTGATTTAAAGCTCGTATGTCATACCCACCTTGACCAAACACTTATGAGGAATATTGAACACTTTGTCACTCTGTCTCAAGTTTTTCTTCAGAAAGTTGTAAGCAACCACCTCGCTCTCACCAATCAAGTGAACAACACTATCTCTCATCACTCTCTCAACGGCCTCAATCTCTCTTTTAACAACCTCTTGCGGTCTCTCTTCACTACGAGACTCTTGGACTCCATCTTCAACCTCAGTTTCACCATTCTATATCAATATTCTCTGTGACACCAACCCTCTCCAAAAATGAATTCCTTCAACCTCTCAACCAATAATCTCTTGCAAGGCTCTTGCTCGTTGCGTACGTCAGTGTACCCATATCTCAGCTATACAACAGAACACGTTAAGTTCTCTGGGTTCCACATTCTAATTCTAATTGTACATAAGATGTTCCGATTCCGCAGAGGGATGGGCAGAATAATCTTAGTGCATGAATAGCATTCAAATCACTAGAAAATCATCAATAAGCTATTTTCACAGAAAATCAGATCAGATCCTAAAGCAGAGCCCTAATGCTCCCTGCAAAATAGTAAACTAAATTGGAGGTAGCCAAAACATTTCAACTGGAACAAACCTACAATCGAACGAGCTGTAGATAGCAATGGCCAACAGCAAGACAGCTTCTGAGGAGGAGACAGCAGTGACTTGGCTGAAGAATGGAGCCTCAGTACGAGTGGACGACGGCGCTGCACGAGATCTGAAGCTCCACACCTGCAGGCGAACAGCACGCGATCGACGGCGCCATAGTAGATTGGAGCTTCACGGAAGATCGACGTCGACATTGGAGGCTGGAGCGGACGATGGCGCAGCGACTATAGGGAGCTGTTCGAGCGAAGAAAAGAGGAAAAGCCCTCTGACCTTGCATAAATCTAAAAATGAATGGAACTGGTTGGACAAATAAATAAATAATGATTCAACCAAAATAAATAAATAAATAAATAATTAATTAATTAATGAACATACAAGAGCATTTTTCATATAAAAAGCTCGCGCATGCACTTGCCTGTGGGAGTATTTTGCACACAACACGCTCTGGTAGGCTTGGAAATAAAAAATTTAAAAAGAAATGAAACACGTTTTAGTAGGCTTGTAAATAAAATTTTTTTTTTTTAAAAATGTATCTTACGAAAGCTTTTCTGCTAGAAAAAGCTCCCGTAGGTTATAAATATTAGAATGTTTGTATTCAAAAATGCTCCGGTATCTTTCACATTATAATTTTAAAATGTTTTTTTTAATTAAAAACGCTTCCATATGAACATCTTTTTTTGCAGTAGAATTTGGTTGACATAGTTAGACAGAGTGGCAATGCCAAATGCTAAGACAGTAGCGAGGCCATGGGAGCATTGGGAGCTGTGGATTTCATCGATGGCGGCCATGGTTTTGGGCTTGAAGGTTGAGAGGATCATCACTGATATAGCGTATATGAAGCAGAAAAGGAAGAAGAAAAAAGAGATATGTTTTTTTTTTTTTTTAATGCCATGTGGCTACTACTTATCAACCCACTGTCAACCATGATGGTAGAATTACATTGCACTTTTTTTAAAAGTTTTGGATTAATATTATTCCAATAAAAAATTTAAAATATTAGATGCCTTACATAATGAAGTTTCAGGGCAACCCTTCAATCCTTTATTAATTCTCGTTTCAATTACCCTATTCCTCTAACTAAAACGTTATAAACCTCATTGTTATAGAAATAATCAGTTTTCTAGTTTTAAATTCCAAATTGAATGGACATTACTCATTTTATTCCTTTAATTATTTACTTGCGTGCACCCACCATGTTTGGGTCTTGTAAATGGCTTAGATCCACCTATTTAATGTCTCAATTATAATCATTGAATTTTATCAATACTTAAAGATTATTAAGATATATTTTCTCCCAAAAATATAAAACAAACCTCGTGATCAAAATACACTTTATGTGCATTATGCATTTATCCTTTTCAAAAATTTAAAATTTGGTGCTTTTAAAGTATCATATAACAAAATATTTGACTCAAAATCCGTCAACACCATTAATTCAAGATATATATATATATATATATATAATGATTTCTGCAAAGACAAAAATATTAGAATATCAATAATATCCGGAGATCATAATAGAGCAACAAAAGTTACATTATATCCATGGATAAACATCTCATCTTTCCTTATTATTATGTAATTATAATAAAGACCTAAAAAACAATATTCTTCTTTCATGTTCCTTTTACTTTTGGTTCTTAATTTCGGAGAGTGAACAAAAATTACAGATAACCCTTTTCCTTGCAGCATTGAATAGCATCATCAAACGTTTGTTCCAATCCATACTTGAACTCAAACCCAGCATCCATAAGCTTCTTCGAACATAGATCTGGTAGCTTGTAACCCTTAATTTCCTTTAGAGACCTGTATATAAAAATTGAATTTAAAAAGAATAAAAACCAAACATATATATATATTAGTCACATACATATATACATACATCCCTCATATGTGTGTGTGTGTATTTCTCCAATTATTTTTATATAAGGTGCTCTACATGCATAAAATTAAAAGTGATCCCAATTGTAAGGTGTCTCACAAAAACATAAAATAATATAATGTTCCATTTTTATCCTTTAATTTTAATGGTATTCTTATATAATTTGAGAATGCATGATGACCTTGCACAAATAAAAAAATGTTCTTCTCATGCTTTCATTGGCTACATTTTTAATAATAATATTTATATCCATTTAATTAATAACAGTACATAATTAGAAAATTGACATTCATTCTGGTCCTTAATATAAGGAGAAGTTTAATTTTTTTCCTAATCCTTATTATAAGGCAAAGTTAAATAATTAGTGTTTTTTTAAATTTTTACCCCTTATTTATTTATTGTCGTTTGAATTTCAATCAATAATTTATTATAATTATTAACTTTAAAAAAGGATAAAATTAAATAATTGCATATTTTTTTACAGTTTTAAGGTTATCACTAACATTTCTTAATAAATGCAAAATTAGTTAATTTCACCTAAGAACCGGACGAAGTATATTTTTTTTAACAAATAAAATAAAATAATAATAACTTTTCTTAATGTATATGAAAACTGTATTTAGTACTAGAACTCACTCTTTTGATGGGATCTGAAATTCTGGGTGTTTGGCAGAGAGAAGCTCAGACATGTCTTCAATGGATACAATGAATGGTGAACAATTATATCTTCCTTTTGGATTAGGATGTTCAAGCAGAAATATGTGAGCTCGAGCCACGTCATCGACATGCACCATATGAGCACGAAGAATCAAACCGTATTGATCCTTCTCACCTGCATCAACTTAATCCCTTTTTTTTAATAAAGAATCTTTAAAAGAAATTTTAGATTGAAATATATTCAAACATTATTCATAACCATTCTCTCCTTTTTATTTTATTATAAGTCATCTCTAACATATTTAATTAAAATTTAAAAAAACTTTTAAACTCATCAAACTCTTATTAAAAATTTAATAAGTTGTTAATTTTATTTTTATTAAATATAAATAATTTAATAACTTGTTTACTCACATCAATATTTAATGGAGGTAAAAAGATAAAAAAAAAATTCTTCTAAGTCTTTGCCTTATAATAAATAAGACCACAGAAGTAAATAGGGACGCAAGGACAGAGAACAATTCAAAGAGTGTTTTTTTCTTTTGACTCTGAAAGTATGATTTAATCCTAATAACTCCTAGAACCTACCTTACCTAGAAAAAAATCAAAACATAGACCTTTCATTGGTAGAAGACTTTTCATCGGTGAAGAATAAATCATTGTAGACTTTTTTGATCCGCCATAACCACTAATTCATAATAGATTCAATCTTACATATACATTCACTACACCTCCAATTTATAAAATATTTTTAGAGAATATTTTATTAATAAAAAAATAATATGTTTTGACAAAAAAAAAAAGATTTCATTAATTATTTTAAGATTACCCTCATTATTTCACCCCTTAAATAATTTTTTTCCTTTTTATTTTTGAGAGTTTATAAAAAAAAAATAAGATTGCAACCTGTATTTATTAACTTTTATTGTTGTGTATAGTATTGTTAAAAAAATATATCGTTTAAATTGAAATGACAGAATATGTAATAAATGATAAGCAAGATTAATAAAAGTAGAGGACTTACCGAAAACCAAAGACAAAGAGAGGTGAACAGAGCCAGGAATCTTAGGGCAAATGAAAGGTCCAACCACAAAAGAAGGCATCAAACTCACAACTTGTAATCCATTTCTTTCTCCAAACTCAAGCACTGCCTTCTCTGCTAACGTCTTTGAAACTGCGTAAGTCCATGCGAATGGTTTCACGCTTCTCAGAAAATCCACGTCGCTCCAGAAGCTCTCGTCCATTACGTCGTCGTTTTTGTTGTTGTGGATCACGGCCGAAGCACTTGACATGTAAACGACGCGTTTCACAGTGTTTGATCTCACACAGGCTCTTAAGATTCCCAGTGCTCCCTCAATCGTCCTCCTTGTGACCACTTCTTCGCTTTCATTCTCTTCAAAATCAACTGGTGTTGCTGTGTGGAACACTCCTACGCACCCTTCAATGGCGTCTTTGAAACTTTCCGGGTCGCTCAGATCAGCGTTGAAGAACTTAAGCTTCTGGGCAGCTCCAGGTAGGATTGTGAGGAAGCTCAAATCTCTCTTGCGTCCTACACGTTATAAGTTAATTATAATCAATCAAGCTTTTATGAGTCCCAAATTTGGAAGCTTCATAAAAAAAAATGAGATTTATAAGTTCAACGAACCTTTTCACCTAACAAATTAGTTTTTTAAAATGATTTTTCTTTTTAATTTGAATATATGCTCATAATGTTAATACTTTTATTGAGAGGCTAATATTATAAAAAGAGTTAGTCTAGTGAAATGTTGTGAAATGGATCTATTAGAGGCATCAATTCTAGAACAGGAATGCATTGTTATATATGAGTCCTAGATGAGTGAATCCCATAAAAAAAAGGTGAAGTTCATAAGTTCAAGAGGCCTTTTTCTCAAGTAAGTTTAGTTTCTTAGGTTGGGGTTTTTCTTAAAACATGTGCTCATAATAATTGATACTTTTATTAAGAGGCTAATGTCAAAAAAATCATAACTATTAATGAATCTTTTGACCAACAAGAGGTCAAATGAAGTGACGTGAATTGGAAATAATTGAGAAACTTTATAAAAAAGTAAGATTTATAAATTTAAGAGATTTTTTTATCTAACAAGTTAGTTTTTCAAGATGATATCTCACTTTAAATTAATTATGCTTGTACATAACACAAGCTTGTTTAACCTATTAGGTTTGGAGAGCATCCTAGAAAGGGTGAGTTGTCAAGAATTAGAGAAAGATGCATGTAAGAAAAGTTATACACCATATTTTAATTCAAAACCATTTTAAAATTACAAGTATATACCTGGATCGGATCTAATGGTGGTATTAACAGAGTAACCATCTTCGAGCAGCCTCTTGATGATCCATGAAGCAATAAATCCAGTGCCACCAGTCACACATATCTTTCCCTTCCCTTCTGACGATTCCATTTTTTCAAAACGCTTTTGATGTGTTTTTGGATATTTTGAAGAACAAGGGGAAAACAAGGCACATATTTATGTTGGTTTTCATTTTCTTGTGTAGGTGAATTGTTTCAAGCTTGTTTTCTGGTCAAAGCATTTATTTCAGACTGGACTTTTCTTTTCATTGACTAAGTGGTATATATTATTGTGTGTGATTCTTTTCCCAGTGAATTTGGCTGGACTTTTGAGATTTGTCTTCTATCAAGTTTGCCACGATAGCCATGTCGTGCAAATTTAAAATTACATGAAAGTCAAACTACTTTATATATTAGCTGTTAAACCGTACAAATCTTGTATAAAATTATACATTAATTGATTTTTTATCAATTAACTATATTTATTAATGAAGATATGTACATATAAACAAAATATATGTAGAAAATAAATTCTTAATTTTTTGGGGGAATCTTGTTCATTGCATGCACTTAAAATATACACTAAATATAGTTGTTCCACACTTATTTTTGTAGATTATATTATGTTAACGTTGATTAACATTTTAATATATACTGCCAAATTATGTATTTCCCTAGCATTCGCATGAGGTGCTTCATCCTAGTAAAATGTTTAATTTATATTTGTAGGATCTTCTAGAAACTAATTTTGATCCCCGGTCAACCATCCAATATAATATATATATATATATATATATTTTTTAATTACCAAGACTTTACTTGGATTGCGTATGTGGTTTTTTCTTTTTTTTTTTTGATTTTTGGTAAATCCAAGTTTAAGTGAGTTAAATCCAATGGTTTAATAGGGTTAGAGCATGATACATGCAAGCTTAAAAAATACTTATTGAGGTATTTACAAATGACCTATTGATTATAATGTTCTTACATTGACAGTAAGATTTTAATCCATGAATTATGCATCAAATCTTTTTTAACTGGATTAAATTTTATTAATTACATGGTTTTTGTTTAATTGATGATGGATGACGACGATTTGTGGGATTTATAAACATACCACTGTCCACCAGGTGAATTTGGTTTTGAGGGTTATGATTCTTTTTTCTTTAGTTATTTGATTTTTTTTATTACCGAAATTTCATGTAGAAATTTCAAAAACCACCGACCTGGGATTTGGACGAAAACATCTTAATGATATTAAAAAAGCCATGAAACAGTTAAGTCAAAGGCTCTAGAACGTAGAATTGTTCCAAGGGAAAAAAACCTTTAATCAATTAAATTAAATACTTCAGTCTCTATTATATGATACTTCTATTTATCTTATCAAAATCAAGAAAGGGTGGTTAATTATATCCCTATTTAAATAAAAAATAAAATTTGCATTATAATATTTTCTCTCATAATTAATAAATTTAAATAGAAATAATATTAGAAAAATAATTAATACCACATCAAATACCTCATATTAAGGACTGTAATTTCTTTCAGAAAGTTTCTTTATATACATGACTACGATTTGTTAATTCTATTACTAAGTTGGTAAAATTATAATAAATTATATATTATCTAAGCAAAACAGTTACTAACATTTCTTCCTTTTTGGCCTAGTCGTTGTGTTTTATTCTTTATGAAACTTTGCTCATCATGCATTTAAAAATTTTGATTTAATTTCTTGCTCATTTCCCTTTGTTTTATACTCATTTTTAATGCAACTCATTATAACTTGAATAAGTCATCACAACTTAAAAAAGAGGGAACGAAGTTTATGTGCACGTTAGTTACTGTTAAGTCTTTATAATCATATTTAAAAATATAGAGATTAATGTTGTAGACAAATAAAACTCAAAATAGTTACTGTTAAGTCCTTATAATAATTTCACGCCAACAGATAATGAAGAATGATGGATCTCTAATAGAAGGATGAATTTCTTTTTTTGAAAAACTTTAGGGGTCACTAGTAGAAAAAATGCAAATTAGCGAGATAATTTAGTGAGAGATTGTCTATTCCTCTCTAAAATACCAAATTAGTGAGAAAATTAGCGAAAAGAATATTAATTTCGTAGCTCGACTTAAAATTAGTGAGAAAAATAGCAAAAAATTATCAATCCCCTCTAAAATGATATGATTAGTAAGGAAAATAGTAAAAGACTGTCAATTTCTTTTAAAAAAAAACTAGCAAGAAAAATAGTAAGAGGCTACTAATCCCTCTATAAAAATAAAATAATTAGTAAGGGATTTTATCCCTAGCTAAATATTATAGAATATTTTGACTTTTGGAAATAACTTTTAATTATATATTTAATTATTTTTATTTAAATTTAAAAATTAACTAAAATATTATTAATAAAATTATTTAATATTTAATAATTTCTTTATTTTAAGTTCATTTTCATTATTAAAATAATATTTTATTAAAAATATAATATAAAGAATAATTTAAATAAAATATAAATATTTTTAACATATTAATAATTGAAAATAAAATTTAATATATATGTGTGTTTTTATGATATATTATTTAATATATTTATGTAGTTAAATAATATATATTTAATTTTTAATATAATGATTGCAAGTGTCTTTGAGTTTAACTGGCAAAGAAGGACAACATAAAGCTTAAAAAATAGGAGATTAAGGGTTTAAGTCTTGATCTTGGTATAAACATAATGAATATATGACATGACAAGGAATGAGTGATATGACATAAGGTGAATGATAACATGTTATGAGTTGACGCACACATGACAGATGATGTGACATTACCATTGTTAAATATAAGCATATTTATTAAGAGATTTTCTCGTTGAAGTTATCAAAATTTGAATAATATTAGCAAGAGATTAGAGAGAGATATGACCATTGCTAAAAATTAATGAGGGACTAAATCTCTCGTTAATTAGTGAAGGGAATACAATCTCTTGTAACATTTAATGAGCTGTTTTTTTGCTGTGAATTTAGTGAAGGACAAATTTCTTCATTAAAATACAATTTAGTAAGAGAAAATGACATTTAGTGAGGAATTTCGCAATTTTTTAGTAATGAATGTAAAATGGTCTTTAACCTTATAGAAATCAAGGTACAAAGACTGCATAGCTCTCCAACACTTCCATATAACTGTTTATTAAACAGAAATTTCCGTTTATGGAGTAGAGTATTGAACTCCTGGTAACAAATATTGGACTGAATAATGCTATGTTAAAACCACAAAATACCGGAGTTAAACTTTACAAATATAATGTCTGGACTCTGGACCTATATATAATACTTCAAACCAGAATAACAATAACACCCTACTGAGTAAATGGGCTTAAGCCCATAACATTGATCACAATTGGGCTTAACAGAGACTATGTGCCAATGCCAATGCTCATGCTCTTACGGTATATTGGCACATAAAATCTATAAGTAGGAAGTCATAAGTTTAATCCCACTTAAAATATCAAAATTTTAGAACTTATCGACAAGAAATTATTGAAATTATAATCAAATGCCATGTTCCCTTGTTTTCTACCGGACACTAGAGACAATTTCTCTGGGATATTGAGAACAAATGATAGACCATTTTCAACTAATTAGTTGTCATTTGATAAATATACAAAGGTTATTCTACGACTACTAATTTAAATGACAAGAATCTACATGCTCACACCAATTAACTTGAATTGGTAATACAGTATACTCTCTAGCAAAAATTAAAACTGAATCGAGTGAATCACAATGTCTATTTTATTAAAATCTGAATTAGATTATTTTCCCCACTAACTTTCAACATATTTTTAGTGCTTCAAATAATTATCATTTGAGTTTATGGCAAAACTTGAGTTCAATTCTGCAACTTAAAAGTTTTTAACCGGGTCACTCTTTTTTCCAACCCAGATTTGGTATTTTTCATAGTCATAATTTATAACCTGAAATCAAAAAATGATTACGGAAGCAGTACATAGAGAATTAGTTGGGAAAAAGGTAATATACTTGAAATTGAATAATACTAGAGATAGGTTGAAAATATATAGAAAGTTAATTGGGAAAAAAAGATAAATTAATTTTTTATTATTTAAATATAAAAAAACTTTTTAATCAATTCAAATTATTTTTAATCCTAACCAACAACCATTTCCAATAACTTTTTGTGCTCTCAATGCATAATAATATATCAGTCCTTTCTAAAAAAAATTGTATTTGACAACTTGATTGTTGGTAATCCGTCACCGTCACCGTCAGAGTAGAAGACATCACGTGTAACTCATTCGTACGAGACACAAAAATATGTAGATAAAAACAAATGACAGTTCGATTCCAGTGGATGATACTATAAACTAATGAATAAATATAATTGATTTGCGTATATGATTTGTCTCTCGTGTTTGGTTCGAGGAACCTTTCACCAATTTGCAGCAGAACTTCTCTCTTAAAAAGGATCGATGCAGGTACGCCAATTAACGCAGTAACTGCATGATGAATTTTAAAAATTTTAAAGCATGTATATGAATAAATATATATTATATAGAAAGAACGATAAGGAGGTCTCAAAAGGATCAATTAATTTAAGTTAAGTTTTAAATGTCAAATTTAAAAAATTTATAACTTAATCATTCAATTTTGCAATTACATTGTAATAAATTTGCAATTTATTTTTCAAATTTTAACATAATTAAATAATTAAAAAAATTATTTTTTCTATTAAAATTTGGAATATAATTTGCAAATTTATTACAATAGAATTGTAAAATTAAGAGATTGAGTTGCAAATTTCTAAAATTTAACACTTGATATTTAACTTGAATTAATTGGTCCTTTTAAGACCTCTCTGTCATTCTTCCTATTATATATTTCAATATAATTTAGGATAAGGATACATGTATTTTAGGCAAATATTTCAAAATTAATATAAATATATTTACAACAATTAACCAAAATATTAATTGGAAAAATGATAATAAAGCCTCTCTAAATTATATAAATGATAATCTGGTTTCTCAAAATCGACATTAAGTTCTGAGAAATTTATTTGTAGACATTTTTATCCCCAATCAGATGATCAATTCTTCCATTAAGATCAATAAAGAAATTAGCAACATTCAAATGAGTA